TAATCCTCGTTATAATAAACGAAATATAGTAGAGGATATTAAACATATAATTCAATTTTTCCAATAAATTTTAAATTTATTCATTCTGATTAATGCGACGGTTGTTTTAAACAAACAAATTAATATTTTGATAATTTTAGAATATTTTTAAAGTGTTAGTGTTATACCGGAAATGAAATTTTGCATTCCTAATTCTCTGCTCATCTTAAATTAGTTCCAAAAATCACCGATAGGTGGCGGTGACATACAAAAGATATGACAATGAAAATGGGCTCACCAATGGCCAAGTGGTTCCGTTCCCTGAACACTGGGCTTTCGATCGTGGGTTTGCGCCTCGCTCGGACGGTGAAGTTTTCAGGGGTTTTCTTCACATCTGTAACGCCTGAATAGTGATCAATTACCCTTAAAAGACCTCCCTGAAGGCATTATTCCCCTCGTATAAAACAAAATTTATATAACTACTAGCCACGTCATATAACATGTCCATCGAAAAAACAATTTAACATGGGGTAGCTCTCGCCCAACATGAAAAACAAAACAACACAAGACGATGAAAATGACTTTAAATGTGTTTATTAGACAAGAGCTCGACATGGCCTTCATTATGAAGTATAACACAATTTATTCGAGTAACAACGCCCGCACCTGCAGAGTGTAGTAGGTCCTGTTGGATGAATGTTACTTCATGACTAATAGTTTTTTTCAATTCCAATAATATAGAAGGAGCTGATCGAAGCACTCGGGAATTTAAATACTCCCGCCAACTATTATAAATCACATTGAAAGTCATTTTTATTGTCATTTCCACGTCAATTCTTTCAAATTTCTTTCGTATGTCAATGCCACCCGTCGGTGATTTTTTGAATTTGTATTTTTTGAAGGTAATTTTGAATTTTTTCCTGTCAACAAAAACCACCGTGCTGACAATATTTATCACGCAAACCGCATTTCATTCCAATAATTGTCCCATTTTTTGTAAATGAATGTTTAAAGTTTTTACGGACTTTTGTTCATTTCTTAGTTTAAATCAACCAATCTTTTGTCTTTCTCATGAGCTCAATAATAACGGCTTGTCTGTGTTTTAACTTATTTTTCACAATAAAAACGTCACTATTCCTGAAGAGACAATCTTATTACCAATTTTTAACGTCTTCCTGTTTAGATAGAACTTGTCATTGTTACGGATCCCTTTTCCATTTCTAGAAGTGGCAATCTTACTTCTTGAATTATTGATTATTCAGAGAATATTTATATATAACATGTTCAATTTTTCTCTGCATGAAAATTGAAAACGAAAATGGCTCAAAAAATATCTGAAATATTATTTAAATAAATAAAAAAAAAAAAAACGGAGCTTAAGGGATCATCTTGAGGTAATCCCCTATCGAATTAAAATTGAATTGTTTGTTTGTTTAATTTACGGTAACGCAAAACTTGAGCGATGCTTTTTAGAAGGCCTTTAAAGAGATAACAAGCATCACATACATGGAGAAAACCCAAAAAACTCCACGTCCTGTCGAGGTGCGAACCCACGACCAAACTCCCGGTGTTTAGAGAACGAAGACCGTTTGGCCACTGGTAGACACTATCGTTATTGTATTTTACCAAATGTTTAATTTTTAATTAAAGTATCGTGTTTATAAATTTCAAATCTGTTTCTTACATCATAATTTTTCCCTCTTTTTGTATTTTTTTAGAATAAACGATTACTGTTTGTTCTAAAAAAGATAAATTAAAAAAATAGTCGTGTTTGTACGAAAACGATGGCATATTAATAATGTAAAACTGTAAATTTTTAAGAGACTAATAAGTATTTCACGCTTAGTCACGATGATTTGGGATTTTACATATTTTCGTTTAAGGTATTTCGCGCTTAACTAATAGTAGGTGAAATGACAATAGATTCAAAATTATACATTAGATTTATTATTCGAAATCTTTTGTTAACGATAATTTACAACTTTTTTTTCTGAAATATTTATTTAATTTTTATAACTTAAAATTATTAAAAATAAAATAGATTTACAAGAACAATTTTTATATTTTAGTTATTGTAAATTCTTTGTGGTAAAATTTAACAGAAATGTTCAAGAGAATTTAGTTTATTATTGAAATTATTTTGAATAAGAAAAGAAAGAAAGGAAGAAAGACATTTATGTGCATGGAACCAATGAAGATTAGTACCACTCAGTATAACTTTTATGCCAAATAAGTACTCAATATAATTTAGCGAAAAATTTATAATGAGTGGTTCAAACAAAAATTTTGACTGAACAATCCGGTTCATATTGTTTTTACTCAATGCAAACACCTGGAGACTAACTTGAAGGCAGATATATATATTTAAGTCAAGGTTAATGTAAGTTAGTTCAGCTCCGATCTTTAAAATATCACGAGGCTAACGAAAACTTTGACCGAATAATCCGGTACAAACGTGGAAAATAATGACATAAGATTTTAGTTGGTACAAACATCTGGGAGCAACTTCACGGGTGTTAGTGATGTAATCAAGATTTCGAGAATATGAATGCTACTGAATTCAGATTTCAGAGGGAACAAGGCAGAACCAAGGCACTTGTCCTCTGATATTTTTCGGAGAATGCTACACAATTAACTTAGAATTACTTAATTGAAATCTTGTGATAGGCGTTATTATACTTATTTACATTTTCAAATGACAATACTAATTGTTTTGGTGTCCACAGGGTGCTACGGCAGAACAAAACCCTCTTGATACGCCTTAATTTCTGAAGATTTAGACTTTTATTGTATTTATACCAAAAATGTTTATTTCTCTTTCACTTTGTCGCTGTTTCTAATGATAGTAGTCGCTCACCTGAAACTCTACCATACATTGCATTACACGTTAGGAATAAACTTAATCATCTACAATGAGGGATGTATTTAACAAATAAGGTTTTTTTTAAACTCTTTCCGCCCTGTGGGCACTAAGAGGGTCTCTATTAACAAGCCCATTATAGGTTCGGCCAGGCTCACAATGAGGTGGCAGGGAGAGTGGTGAGGGAAGGAGCCCGACATATCCGGACGGACCAACCCCCGAAAAATTCCTGGGAATTTATCGACCCGTCCCCCAGAGCGGTAGACTGCCACTTTGACCGCTCGGCCATCCGGCCATCTAACAAATAAGGGTGAAGAATAAGAAACGACACTACAGCCTCAAGGTTTTTAATGTTATTATTTAATATTTTCCTCTATATTTTATGCACTCACCTATACAGTAATTGCATTATATAGTGATTATCTATATTCATACTATTCATACATATTCATAACCGAATAAAAATTCCTGGTATGGTTTTGTTTTAATAGTGTACATTCGACCTCCTATAACACTGTTGATTATTCCGTTTTATACGAATTCCATGTTGTACGAGTCACTTACATTTTTCAAATACGTGAGCCGTTCACAGCTCGGCACACGTATTTGTAAAATCTAAGTGATTCCTACAACATAGAATTCATATATAATTCATATATTCAACAGTGTTATAGGGGGGTCGACTGTATTGAGTTTGATATTAAGAAAGATCATAAAATAAAATAATTCTGTAAAGTTTATTTCATAATTTATNCGGGTAACTAACATATTGTAACTATTGATATATAATCCAGTGCATATTCTAATGTGCAACTGGACACAGGATGTATAGTGCAAATTTTAAATTGTGCAGTGGAAATCCCGTATTTGTGTGCAATAATTAATTGTTCGATTTCAAGTTTTTAAGTATTTTTTTCTGGTTATGTTAAAGTTAAAATATTTACCTAAATTAAGCAGTGCGGATATTATTCGGCCCGTGAATAAAAGAGGTACAAAGGAATGTCGATAACATTTACCATTTGTGTCGAATACGTACGATAAATATTTTTATATGGCCGTAACACTAATATTATTATCATTTAAGACTATAATTTACATATCCAGAATTTCGGTGCTCTTATCATATAGTAAATTATGTCACGTATGGACTCGCGGTGCACGTTGCATGTGTCTAATTACCAGAGCTCTAGAGTTGTTTAAAAATCTACCGACCCTGACTTTTCCTTACCATCTGAGTTCGACCGGGGCAGACTTTTTACCAAAATAGGCTCGGGAATTCTGATGTCAACACATGAACTTGGAATGAAAGCTTCAACAAACAGAGTTCTAATAAAGATAGAATGTAGAAACTTTTTTATTCCAAAGCTAAAAGATTCCTCTAAGTAATGACATCGTCAATATATAAATATGTATGCGATAATTTTTACTTTTTTGGTTGTTATATATAACAGAGAGAAAGTGTAGCGATTGGTCAAAAGATGATCCCTCCCTAAATTTTTACATTTTTGGACTTGGGACACCTTGAAATGTTGAGATATGCAAAAGGTTTGGGGATTTTTTTTCTGTACGTATGGATGTTAAAATGTGGGGAGGGCACAATTTTGTTCAACCTGTTTGAAGCTTAATAACTTACGTGGTTTTTGAATTGGAGTCGTATGGTTTAACACTGGCGTTATTAAGCTTCAAAGTGGTTGAACTAAATTGTTCCCCACACACAGCCAGAGCCAAAGTTGTTGGATTTTTCGTGACTCCAACTTTGACTAAAACACCAAAACTTCATGACTCTCCTGCTAATTACTAAGAATGAACAATGATTGAAATTAAATAATTATACAGATATAAGATATTTATTGTCTTTATTTTCCATTTATGACTTTTATAATGGCTTAGTAACATTAGGATTTATCGGTTTGGCCAAAACAAAACTGATATTTGTGCATTAGGAAAAAAACCTTTGAATAAGGACTTCTATAATCTATTGTAACTAAGTAACAAAATTTAATTATTTTTTTATCAAATATCAATATAAATAAATAATTCTGTATTTAAACTAATATTTTAATATTTAAATTAAAGTACTTTATTGTATTTACAATTTGAAACGAATTAAAATGTCTTACTATGTTTCAAAAATATTCCGATAGATGGCGAAGAAACTATAATGGTTCCTTTTTGTACGAAGCGTGTGTATTAATCAAGATAATTCATACATTTTTTTTTATAGGTAGAAAAATATAAAGTATCGGATAAAAAAAATGATAAGTGCAGAAGTAATTAAGGATTTAATTTTGAATGATCCTAAGCAACCTTTTGTATTGAATAATATGTTAGAAAATTGGAAATGTGCGAAGTGGACTATGAAGGAATGGGCAGATATTTGCGGGAAAGAAGAATTCAAATTCCGTTTTTCTAGAAAATATCCAAATAAAAATGGCAAGTAATTTCAAATTTAATGACATTTAGTTTTTTTTCCCTTCTTTCTAATCTATTCAATGTATACCAGTACTTTGAATTACATTACAATACTGTATCTACATATATACAGGGTGTATCAGTACAGCGGTTACAAACTTTCAGGAGAGATAGAGTATACCTAGACGATGGGAAATCACATAGCAATGCATGGTCTGAAATGCTTTCCTGGTGCGGTAGTGACGACACAAAACACAAGAAAGTAAGGACACGAACAGGGTGAGAAAACATGTTTATTATTCTTAGTACAGGAAAAATCAACGAAGGTGTTTGAAATTACAACCCCGGGCCGTGATGCAAGCCTCACATCTCTGGCGCATTGAAGATCTAACGTTGTCGAAAATATTGGGCGTGTCCCGGACTTCCCCAGCAGCTGCCACTATGCATGCAACAAGTTCCAGGAAAGTGTTTCCGACCATGCATTGCTATGTGATTTCCCATCGTCTAGGTGTACTCTATCTCTCCTGAAAGTTTGTAACCGCTGTACTGATACACCCTGTATATATACAATACAATAACATTACATTGAAGTAGAACTAGATACCAAATTTTAGTCAAAATTCAATTGTATTTTATATTGTATATTTTACTTTATTTATGAATTAAACTAAATATTCTGAAATTAATTTTTTTTTTTAAATTCTTATACTTCTGAGATTTAAATTGAGTGACAATGAATCACAGTGTACAATTTAATCCGGTGAGTAGTAATAAAAGTGATAAATCTCACACAATTTTAAGAGATGATCAATAAAATTGTGACTGTAAAATTTAGTATCTTCCTCAAATGTAATAGTTCTACTTTAATGTTTACATTACGGGTAACTAACATATTGTAACTATTGATATATAATCCAGTGCATATTCTAATGTGCAACTGGACACAGGATGTATAGTGCAAATTTTAAATTGTGCAGTGGAAATCCCGTATTTGTGTGCAATAATTAATTGTTCGATTTCAAGTTTTTAAGTATTTTTTTCTGGTTATGTTAAAGTTAAAATATTTACCTAAATTAAGCAGTGCGGATATTATTCGGCCCGTGAATAAAAGAGGTACAAAGGAATGTCGATAACATTTACCATTTGTGTCGAATACGTACGATAAATATTTTTATATGGCCGTAACACTAATATTATTATCATTTAAGACTATAATTTACATATCCAGAATTTCGGTGCTCTTATCATATAGTAAATTATGTCACGTATGGACTCGCGGTGCACGTTGCATGTGTCTAATTACCAGAGCTCTAGAGTTGTTTAAAAATCTACCGACCCTGACTTTTCCTTACCATCTGAGTTCGACCGGGGCAGACTTTTTACCAAAATAGGCTCGGGAATTCTGATGTCAACACATGAACTTGGAATGAAAGCTTCAACAAACAGAGTTCTAATAAAGATAGAATGTAGAAACTTTTTTATTCCAAAGCTAAAAGATTCCTCTAAGTAATGACATCGTCAATATATAAATATGTATGCGATAATTTTTACTTTTTTGGTTGTTATATATAACAGAGAGAAAGTGTAGCGATTGGTCAAAAGATGATCCCTCCCTAAATTTTTACATTTTTGGACTTGGGACACCTTGAAATGTTGAGATATGCAAAAGGTTTGGGGATTTTTTTTCTGTACGTATGGATGTTAAAATGTGGGGAGGGCACAATTTTGTTCAACCTGTTTGAAGCTTAATAACTTACGTGGTTTTTGAATTGGAGTCGTATGGTTTAACACTGGCGTTATTAAGCTTCAAAGTGGTTGAACTAAATTGTTCCCCACACACAGCCAGAGCCAAAGTTGTTGGATTTTTCGTGACTCCAACTTTGACTAAAACACCAAAACTTCATGACTCTCCTGCTAATTACTAAGAATGAACAATGATTGAAATTAAATAATTATACAGATATAAGATATTTATTGTCTTTATTTTCCATTTATGACTTTTATAATGGCTTAGTAACATTAGGATTTATCGGTTTGGCCAAAACAAAACTGATATTTGTGCATTAGGAAAAAAACCTTTGAATAAGGACTTCTATAATCTATTGTAACTAAGTAACAAAATTTAATTATTTTTTTATGAATTAAAACAAAATAAATAAATTTTATTAATCAGTTAAAATAGATCAAACACATTTCAATGTTTTTGACTTTTGCTTTAATTAAGATTGTTTTGTGTTGTTTGACACCTCTTAAAAATATTTTTACTGTATTTACTCATTATAGTTTAAGTTTTTCATATGAATAAATTTTAATGTTTTGATTATATATCTTTTTCATTATGCTTAATAATTTACCTTTAAATTTTAAATATTATGCTTAAATTGTAACTACTTTTTATTTAAAATTATAATTGAAATTATATAAAATTTATAAATGTTCCAAAAAAAAATTATTTGTTAGATAGTTGCTGATCTGATCGAATAAAACATTTGACAAAAATTAAATTAAGCATTAAAGCAAACTGATTGTTAAATATTTAATGTAAAAAGCAAAATATTTCAGCATAACATTCTATATATAATTGATATATATTTATATACAGTATATCATAATTGTAAACCCTCTATCTTTTGGGCTAAGGATCTGCTTTTGAATATAATTGTCATCCTATCAGCCTAACCTAGAAATTCTGCACTTATTTGTGCTAGTATAACATCTTTAATTGCATTATCTTTACAAATGTGCACTTACAATGAGTACTAAAAATCCAAAGTTTGCTTGCTTTGCATTTTTAAAAAATTTCACTTTCTAACATTACAGATTGACATTTTCTTTAAGTTCAGTAATTCTTATGAATCTTCACAAGAATTCTTACATGCATTTGAGAATTTCAACAGAAACTTTAAATTTATTATTAAATTATGAAAAATAAATTTTTTTCTAAAAAATTCTTCATAGGACTAAAATTTTGTTTTCAGAATGTAAGATTTTCCACTCTTTGGTATGTGAAAGTTAATTTGAATTTCTTGTAAATTAAGTCACATGCTAAAATCACTTTTTTTTTTTTATCCTATAGGCTATAAGGAATTATTAATTTTTGTAATTTTTTTTAATAGATAATTAACTTTCTATGTATTACTTATTATATATGGTACAGTGTATTCTTCATTCTACATTTTTACTGCAAATAATCAGTTTAATTGGAAAGCCAATATTATAAACTTATTATTGTGTTAAAGAGAATGAATATTGAATAAATGGTTAAAAATATCACAAGTTTTGTCAAAAAACTTTCTACAAATTGTTTTTTTTTTATTTCTCAGCCTTTGCATTCCAAAATCAGCCTTTCCTAGCTATCAAGTCAGACTCATCTGTAATGTAAGGTTGTCAGTATGATATATCTTATAATATAATTGAGATGGGTTGATAATAATAATAAGTGCAGAGCCCAAACAGTTAGGAGTTAAAAGCTGAAATTTGGTACACAGTTAGGGTATGTCATGCAAATGCATACTAAGAAGTGACTTTTGGAAATTTTTCCCCATTGGGAGAGGAAAAAGGTTAAGGATTACCCTGAAGAACGCTGCTTCTACTGTACTATTTTAAATATGGTTTTTTTGCGTTTTTGCGGGAAATCAAACATATTTTTAGACTCATCTATAAATTCTCTAATCAGTCTTGGAAGAGTGGGGACCAAATTCTTGCACTCTGTAAAAATGGGAAAGATCTGCTATAATCTAATAATCTTAATCTTTATCAGGCTAGAAACAGCTATAACATTAATAATTTAATAGACAATTTGGCATTAGAGTTAGAGGCCATTTCTTGATAAATTAAATAATTTAAATAATAATTTTAGAATTACTGGAAGAAAAGAATTGGCCCGAAGCGGGACTTGAACCTGCAACTCCTGCTTACTGTGCAGATGTGTTGCCAATTACACTACCTGGACCTTTGGTCTGATCTCCTCTTTTAGCATATATAAGCTAATGATATAACCATCGATGGTTATTACAATTCCAGCTGGGGATGCGTTCAGCACCCACGACATGCAAACAACTCCCAAGGCACGTATCGGGTGTAGTAAGGATGTTTGATTATCTTAATCTTTGCTATCGTTACTTTTTGCCCAAGCAACGCTGGGCTCATTTGCTAGTAATATATACTGGTATATTTTCTTTTTCAGTTTTAATATTTTGTTTTCAGATTCAATTTATAAATATTCTAAAAATTTTAGAATATATAATAATTGAGATTGAAATTTATCATTAATACTGATATTTAATTTTAGATGACTTCTTATGTATGTGATTATAAATAATGACAGTAGATAGCAGTTTTGAACATGCCATTACACAAAAGTTGTTTGTTTAATTTTTTAAACAAACAAATTAAAATATTCTTTAAAATCCTCAGTCTAATGTAATACTACTTATCAGTGCAAGTGGTGTAATTTTTTATTGATAAAAGGTTTGCTCATTGGCAAAAGAAGTTACACACTCAGATAGAATTGTTTAATTACTGCAAAACCCAAACAGACTACTAGGAGAGATGATGTCTTATTGTGAGACAAACACAAACAGCTGCAATAGCATCTTTGTCTATCATTCAGAGACAGGTAGAAATCTTGCTACAGATTCCTCTCTCTTCCTGTACAATGGTATGGAAAGAGATGAGTAGATACTAGCAGAGGCAAATTTGCATACATGATGACCACTTTGTGTCCTGCTATTAAAACTTTGACCTAATTGACTTCAAAGTTTTTATTATATCATTGTCTACATTGGGCTTAGTATATTAATAGGACTTATTATATTGGTTATACTAGGACTTATTAATATACTAAGTCTAACATAGACAATGATATAATAAAAACTTTAATACAGTAAGGACATAGAGAAGGCAAAAGAATTAATACTCATTGACTTCATTTTGCAGTGGTGCCATGACAAAGAAATATGGAGTTTACTGACTAACAGACTTGTCTTTAGCAATGAATCTTGGTTTTGTTTGGGAACAGAAAACCATTGTTAGTGTGGAGTACTTTGGGTTATTTCTTTAATCTTGTTTTTACTGTTCAGTGACAGTACCCCTTGCTGGCATGCTAGTCTGGAGAGCCGTCTTATATGATGATTATCTCTAATAGATATACCAGGGACATTGATTGCACAGAACATAGTTCTGTGCAATCAATATCCCTGGTATCATTACTCTGCATCCTTATGTGTTTTCTTTCATGACAGGGTTGCAAACATCCTTTTACTAGCAAGATAATTCTCAAACATAGGTAGCTGGGGCTTCCTAGAAATGGCTTGATCATGCTACATCTCAAGATTTTTTGCCAGTCAAGCATTTGTGGGACCAGATACTATTTTCAACAAGTATGAGGGATCTGGAGCAGCAGTGACAACATCCATAAGCAGATCTATTGTAGGATAGTGTAAGATATCTATTGTGATATCTATACACCGCCATCCTATTGTGATATGTATACGCCTGATCATATCACTTGCATTCTGACAAAAGGAGGTCTTACAAGGCACAGGTGTCCATAGCAACTTTTCCAATGAGAGACAGAAGATTATACTCCCACTGTTATCGTAGTTATAAAATCAGACTAATCGAGCTTATATCAGTCAATTTACCATACTATTGAGTAAGACAGAGAATAGAATTTTCTGGCAATCTTTAGGAAATTAATTATAAGTTTTAAACTTCCAAAACCTGTTTTTTGCCTTCAGTTAGAAGGCCTGATCCAGTTGGGCAAGTGTGCTCACGTGCTACAAGGTATTAAAGATTCCTTTAAATCAGCAATTCCCAACCTGGGGTACGCTATAGGTTGTTTAGGGGTACAGAAAAAAGTTTATTATGACAGAAAAAATAATATATTATGTATCACAAATTAATAGTATTAAAAAATTATTAGGTAAAAATTGTTCCTTGCAACAATCACAAACTTTATTATACATTTCAAAATGCAAAAATAAAAATAAAAACTTATGCTGCCGATTGTACAATGCAACTGATCAATAAATGTTGTGCAGTCGGTCAATGGTAGTGGAGATACCATTATATGTGATTAGTGATTATGCTACGGACTTTTGATGGTGGGGTGTGTTACCGTTATTATTATTATCTCTCAACAATATCCCCACGTGTTGTTTGAAAAAGTATTATTTTGTTTATAAAAAGTATTTTTATTGTTAGCAAGGAAAAGGACATAGCTAATTTCTCCAGATTTTCTGTACACACAGTAATTTTTTTCATTATTTATTCAGTATTTTTATTAATTTTTTATTGACAAGACTATGTCTTGTTTATAAAATCGTACAGCTTGCTGTGTTACCAGCTTAGAGGTATGAAGGAGTACATGTCAAAACTTACAATTTGGCACAAAGTATTAGGCACCCAAATCATGTGCTTATAAAAAAAACAGACTTGTGGGTACTCAGGGGACCGAGAACTGAGTCAAAATAAAATTCAAAATGGCGACACTCTCTACAAACAGGCAGTGCAAGATTTGTGCATGTGTTGCTCTTTGGGAAGTTGGAAATGCCACAGGAGTATGCTAATGAAAAAAAGCTTGGGAACCGCTGTTTTAAATGATAGCATTGTTCCACAGAAAATTGTTTTTTTGCTAGGATATTACAGTCATTTAATACCATTGTTTTTATTTTCTCACTATTATTACATTAAAGTTTTATTCAATTTCAATGTGTCCTCCTTGTACATAATTTTTTTATTTATGAGTGTATTGAATTCTATTAACAATGGTAACATAGTAAACTACTATAATTTAAAATTATTTATTAAAATATTTTCAGAATGTGTCTGGGAAGGAGAAGCAGAATATATAACTTCAACAATAAATGGTTTTTTAACTTGGTTGAATGATTCAAATGAAGAAGTGAATTTATTTAGCTGTTTTAAAAGATCTGAATTTTGGTGTTATTCTAGTTATAATTATATGGCAAAAACTTTCCAAAGCATTCCAAGCATTATACAGGTAAGTTTACAAATTTATTAATATGAAAAATTATGTAAATTTTAATTTTAATTTATATTTTTTAATTAAGTATTTTAAATTTCTAATATGATTAATAAAATAAGCTTTTAAAGTACTTTTTTACATCTATCAAATATAACTGTGCTAACTTGTGAGGTTAAGCAGTTTTAAAAGTACTTATATGAATATAAACTTACATATTGTAAGATGTAATTACAAAGTTTATTACACAAAAGTCTAAAAACATTAGGGCTTCACAACATCATATACAACACACTACAGAAGGTTGCCATAAACATATCACAAGTTCTAAACACAGATACCTGCATGAACAGTATATAAATAAAACATTTTTTCTGTAGTTATACCTTGACTTGGCTTTGGCATTGTATAAGATACCAAAGGGATGTGGGTTATGCAATGGGGCAAGATATATACTGATTTTAAGTTCCAGTCTTGAGTTAAAGTAGATTCACACTATATGACTATAGATAACAGGCATTTGATCTACCAGACCAATAATTATCTATTTATATGTTTATGAGAAATGACACCAAATGTCTAACTTGCTTCCCACTGTTACAACCCTGACCTAATTTGATGGATTAAGATTTATTTTTTTAATAAATACTTGCAAATAAGACATATTAATCTTCAGTGTAATATAAAACACAAGCAGCCAAAAAGAATTAAACTTTTATTCAATAATTATTTATGATTAACAAATTTTAAGAAATAATTTAAAATTGATGATTAAATTATTTTCTGTTTAATTTTTTCAAGTGTATTTTATTATTACTACTGGGCAAAGGAAATCAGTCACAAAATAGAAACTATAAATTGTATTTATGTTTTTATACTTAATTTACATAATTGGGATAGTTTATAAACATCTGCAATGAATTGGTGATTTGCTTTTTGTCCTTACGTCATTACAATATGAAACTATGAGCATTAAGTTTTGGCTCTATCACACACTATTGATGTTGTCAGAGTAATCACACAGAAATGGGTAGACACAAGTTTATTATGGCAACGGTATGCATTTCAGACAGGTTGTCTGTCCCTCTTCGACTGTATTTGTTACAATTTGGTGGGTTTATAGGTGTCTACAAAAATACAAATGGTTTTTTGTTACAAACATTTGGGTTTATGATTAAAATAATTCAAAATTACATTTTTATACATACTTAAAAGGTACATTCTAATTTGTTGCTGATGTGTGGGTTGCTTTATTTTTGGAATTTTTCACAGATGTTATGTTTTCCATACAAATAGCAATCAGAGATTAAAACTGTTGCTTAATGAAATTAATTGTTAAGTAAATACTATGGTAAATGAATGTAATACAAAGTTATAAAACAAGATTACAGTTACAAAAGTAAGAGCTGTTTTAATAAAGGTTACATATATTTATGCAGACAGTCAGCTCATACAAACATACTTGTAATGAAGTTATGGGGTAACCAGTGAGTACAGGGGGTGATCCTCAATATTTCTAGGGATTTCTCAGTAGCCACTTCCCTATTAAGGCCATATCATACATATGAAGGCTCTTCAAAGGCACATTAATGAAGACAATACACAAGCAAACGCTTGTGTATTGTCTTCATTAGTGTGCCTTTGAAGAGCCTTCAACAGTTTAGTACAGTGATGTACACACAAGCAAATGCTTGTGTGTACATCACTGTACTAAACTGTTGTCTTTGCTAATGCGAACTCTAATTGAAAGTTATTTATTTAATATTTTAAATTTTTTACAAATGTTAGTTTAATTAATGGAAAATGGATTTCTTTATTACAGAGTTTAAAAAATAAAGCAAAAAAGTAATGTCATCTTTAGTTTCTGTTTCATTAATTATTACTTTGAATTAAAACTAATAATTATTAAATAAAATTATTTAAATTTAATTCATACATACATATATACATGCATGCATGCATGAAAGACATCAGCTGTACACAAGGTTTAGCTGACGGAAAAGAGGGTAAGGGAAAGGGGGAGGAAGGAGGGGAGATAGACAGTAGAGAAAGATAGGATCCCTCTGAACAGCATATGTATGGCTACTTTACCCTCTATGTTTGATGTTGGTGTGCAGTTTTTAAGCTGCGAGGCCATAGTCCCCTGAAGGGTCTAAAAGAAAACCTGAGTGTAGCGAACACCAATAATTGCATATCACCACAAATAGCTAAGTGTAGAAGTTAGTGCCAAGTGGCTGTTAGTAGGAAGAGTTATATCTACTTAATACTAATAAAACTGAACACGAGCATGAATTTCAATACTATTAACAGCTAGACATGCAGTGTGAACACAAATGAACACAATGACAAAGTAGACAAGACAAATGGACTGACAGAAGACAAACAAGCAAGACCCCAATTTTTTTTATTTTTTTTTTTTAATTTTTTGTATTTATTTATTTACTTAAACATTAACTTACTTACTAACTAAACTAACCTACCATAACCTAGGGCAAACCTAACCAGACAACTAAAGCTAACAACCCTAATCTAATTTAACCTAACCAGAAACCATGCTAAGAGTCCCTAATCTAACTTACAACTAGGACTAACTTAAACTAACCAAATTTAGACTGAAAAGAATACGGAAAATAAGAATTAAAATACAAAGTTGAAAGGCAGCTATATACTGACAGTTGAAACTAAACAAAGGAAAAGCTAATTGCCATCTGTTCCGCTGGAGCGAGTGCTCTCAAGAGCCCCACTAAGGGATATGAATGCGAGGAGATGATGGAATATTGTACATGTGTGAATGAGTTGGTGCAGGTTGCAAGGCCAGTTGTACCTTTCAAGAATAGCAGCTCTCATTAAATTATCCCTAATGTGATTGTACCTATTACAGCAAAACACTAAGTGAAGTGGTGTTTGGTCCTTCTGAATACCACAATTGCATTGTGGATTGTCCCCAAAGTTAAATCTATGCAAGTATTGCTTAAAGTTGCTGTGTCCTGTAAGTAGCTGAGTGAGGGTGTAACTAGGGTAAAAGTGGCAAAGAATCACAGTAGTGTCAACCTTGGGGATGAAAGTGTAGATGAGTCTACCAGTGGTGTCATGGTCCCAGCTGTCTTGCTGTAGAATGAAGATTTGCTTCTTGATGTGATTGTTGATGTACGAGGTAGGAATGTAACTGAAAGTACTAGTGACTGAAGACTTTGCAGCTTGTTTGGCAAGATGGTCAATGGTCTCGTTGCCAAGAATCCCCACATGACCTAGGACCTGTTGGAAATCTATTCTAATGTTGTTGTCTAAGTGTCTGAGAATGTGATGTATGAGATGGACAAGTTTTAAGCAGCTATCAGACCTTGCAATCCTGTGTAAAGCTACCCTACTGTCAGAATAAATGTGATAGTTTAAGTAGTGTCTTTTGTCCTTCCTATGCCTAATGTGAATTAAGCTCATATAAATAGCTAAAGTTTCCATGTGTGCTATTCAGCAGTGTATACCTACATGGAAGCAAATGTTGTGAAGCTCGCGGCCTAAATCGGAGTAAACTACAAAAACGGCACCCACTTCGTCACCCATCTTGGAACTGTCAGTGTAAATCCTAAACATGGAATGATCACTGGATCTTTGAAGTAAATGTCAGGGGCAAGCTGATGGGAGGGGTGGTAATCATAAGTCAGGAGGGTATTTTTGTCAATGCTGAATTTTTTGATATCATCGATCAAGGTCAGACTAAGGGCAATCTTACCTACTCTAATCATCTTGTTGTCATCTGAGTCATTATAATCTTGTGATAAGATTTTCCTGCCAAATAATGCATTTAATTTCTAAGTTGATAGGGGTCAACCCTGACATTACCAAAAGGGTACTAGTGGGTGTGGTCCTATAAGCCTTACAAATGCAGAGAGTTGAAATTCTTTGAACAGATAACAGTTTTTTACAGTTATGGACTTTGGTGGCCACATGGCCCCAGACCTGTATGGCATAGAGGCATGCTGGCTGAATTGTACCCCTGTAAATAAGCTTAGTAGCATTAGGGCCAAGGACCCATGTCTTCCTAGCAATATTAATGAGGGCATTGGCTGTCTTTTTAGCTTTGTCCATAATGTATTTAATGTGCGGTATGAAGTTAAGTCTCTCATCAAGAATAACATCTAAATATTTAATTTCCATTTTTTATTCTGTGAGCACCTATTTGAAGGGTAAACTATTTGATAAGTGATGTGTTCCTACCAACTATCATGCTTTCACTTGCCTACCTTTACAAAAAATTATTTTATATTAATTATTAATAGTTGCAAATTATAGTCTGAATAATCCAGAAATTAATGTGATTATTCTAAATATTTGGGCTTAGTTCTTTATACGAGGGCTGTTCGAAAAGTTTGCGGCCTTGCCTATATGCGGCGCTGCGATCAATTTAATTTTTGGCGGGAATAATTCAGCCATCCTTGCTAAAGATATGATACCAATTTCCGCTTGATTTGTCGTAAAGTTTTGCCACGACAGCTTAGCAGATAGTCAATGTGCACATGCTTTGTCAAAAATGGAGAAGACGGAGACTCGTGCGGTCATAAAATACCTGACGAAAAAAGGGTTGACCGCATCTCAAATCAAAGCTGACATGGATGAAGTTTTGGGAGAGTCTGCTCCTTCGTACACCACTGTGAAAAAATGGACAGCCCTTTTTAAATCTGGCAGAGAGAGTGTGAAACATGACCCTCGCAGCGGACGGCCGTCAACTGCTGTCACTGAAAAAAATATCGACAAAGTTTACGATTTGGTGTTAGCAGATCGCCGTTTGAAAACGCGTGAGATAGCTGAGACAACAGGCATCTCTGTCGACCGAGTGCACCACATCTAACCGAAAATTTGGGTATGACGAAGGTCTCAGCAAGTTGGGTGCCGCATCTGCTGACCGCTGAGCAAAGACGTGTTCGCACTTTGATGTCAAAGAAGTGTTTGGACTTCTACAAGAAAAACCCACGGGATTTCTTGCGTCGGTTTGTGACTACTGACGAAACGTGGATCCATTACTACACTCCTGAAACAAAAGAACAGTCGAAGCAATGGAAACACCCCAGTTCGCCACCACCAAAGAAGGCAAAAACAGTTCCATCAGCGGGGAAAGTGATGGCCTCGGTTTTTTGGGGATGCTAAAGGAATCATCTTTATTGACTACCTAGAAAGAGGAAAGACCATCAATGCTGTCTATTACTGTATACTTTTGGAAAAACTGAAGAAAGAAATCGAAGAGGCCACACTTGAAGAAGAAGGTTCTGTTTCACCACGATAATGCCAGAATCACTGAACAAAAAATAAACGAACTTAGCTTCCAATTAGTTCCACATTCACCGTACTCACCTGATTTGGCCCCCAGTGACTTCCACCTTTTTCCAAATTTAAAATAATTCTTGGTTGGAAAGAGATTCCACTCAAATGACAAAGTCATCTCTGAAGTAAACGAGTATTTTGCACACCTTGACAAATCGACCTATTGTAATGGCATAAAAAAGCTAGAACATCGCTGGAATAAGTGCATTGCTAACAAAGGAGACTACATTGAAAAATAAAAAAAGTTTTAACATTATTTTGTTTGTTGTTCTTTATGAGGCCGCAAACTTTCTGAACAGCCCTCGTACATACCTACAATGATCTGTTAACAGAAATGAAACAGAAAAAGCAATATTTTAGTACTTGAGATGGTAACGTCTAAACTTTATATCAGTAATTATCTTGCTTTCAATGGCAACTCTGGAGGTGCAGGTTATGTGAAGGTTTTATTTTTGTTCTTGCAATTTTCTGCCGGGTATTATAGGTTATATCCTGCTGCAGGTTATTCACTCAAATTTACAATACTTGGCAATTTTAAGAAACTAATTAATCTTATATTAATGCTTGTTTATGTGAAGCAATTAATATAATGTACAAAACAAAATAATTTTTAACAAATAAATTTCTATTCAATCATTTTGAAATAATTCAATTGTATAGTTAGGATGTGGATTGGTCATCCTTTGGTTTTCCTGGAAGATGTGGACATCAAAGTACTTGGTGGATTGGAAGTGAAGGTGCACATACCCCTTGTCATCAGGATACTTATGGATGCAATTTAGTAGCCCAACTGACTGGCAGGTAATTTAGTTTCTTAAAAAATTTGAAACTGTTATATTAAAAATCTAGTAGACTTTCTCTAAAAGCTTATAGTTATTAAGAAAAATTGTATTTAAGTACTGAATAGAAATAACATGTAATTAAAACTTATTTTTAGTTAAGTGCCAGGTAACATAATTAAAAAAAGAATGATTTGCTGTAATTATGATAGATAAAACTGCAAAGAATTAAGAATTTATTAATATTATGCTTTTTATTCTACTATTATTAATTAATTGTCTGAGCACTATAAATAGCTCTTTTTAGGATTTATCACATAATGTCGGTGAACATAATGGGAAGTTGTTGATACAAGATATATGGATTTACAATTATGGATTACAAGCTTGTAATTTAGTGATTGTAACAGCTGAAAATGGACAGTTTGTCTGCCTGAAATGCATACCATGTTACAAATAAATACTTAATGTTCATCAGTCTCTGAGTGAGCTCTTGACAATGTGTGATAAGTTCTAAAAAAGAGCTATATAGTGCTCAGATAATTAATTAAGAATTTAATATTGAATGTGATGTAGGATTTAAAGTATGGTTTAAAAATATTTAATTTAATAATTTAACTTTGATTTTTAATTCTTAAATATTTTCTTAACACTGATATATATATATATATATACATTGGTACCACATTGTAATTTTCTTTTTGAAATACTGTATATATAGGGTGTCTGGCTTATAGATTTAATAAAAGACTAATTTATAACTTTCATTGTTTATATGTTTCTAGTAATAT